AGCAGGCAGCAGTGGGGGGATTGTCTGCCAGGCTGGGACAAGGATAGAGGGGTGCAGCCTGAAAAGGGGCACTGAAGGAAGAGCTTTGGAGAGAAGGGGACATTCCCTCAACAAGTAACAGCCAGTAACGGCACGTTACTTTGGGGAAGCTTCATGGTGCAGAGGACCAGACAATTCCTGTAGGAACCGGTTTCCCCAGGATCACAACTAGAAGCGGCAGAGCTGGGATTCTAACCCAGTTTTAACACCAAGATCCATGCTCTTCCTAATACAGACATTTCTGAATCATGACCAGGTAGAAAGTTAGCAGAAGCCCTGGTGCAATCCAGGTAGCTGCTTCTACCGTTCCCATGGCAACCCCCATCCCCAACCCTCCCATCCAGAAAGAAGGCTCTGAGCGTTGACCCCAGAACCTGTCTCTACTGGATGTTGACAGTAGTCTCACTTCTTGATACAACCCCTAGTCATTTCTAGTGTGCCTCAGAATTTGTCTAAATTCGGGCAAACACAGAAATGACTCCCCAAAATTCAAAAGAGCAGAATTTAGCTTAACTTGGAGAATTCTGTTACAGCTGGCATCAATCTCTGAAATACTGGCAGGGGCTCAGCACCCCCACCTGTCCTCTTAGTACCCCGGAGTCACTGCACACCCTTCCAAGAGATCAGAAGAGGATCATAATCACTCTAAAGAGTTGGGATTCTCTCGAAAGTTATTTATGCCATTTTTCCTTTTAAAAACATTTAGTTCAAACACAACAACAAAAACCCTCAAAGCATTCCAGTTTAGAATTGCCTTGCTAGAGGTTAAAATTTGGTTCGTACTCAAATATCCGACAGACAGCAAAGTCTTTGATGCAACCTTATTTACTCAGTAGCATCTGGAAAACGTTTCAGATTTTCCAGTTAATGTATCCTTAAGTCAATCCAACCACAAAGTTATCTAGCTGAATTATCTCATTAGAACATCTTTCCCCATCTTGAAGGCATGAACATATGGAAATCATCCCATATGTAAATTAAGCAAGGCATCCTTTTGGCCCCTCCCACGTCTCAGCCACCCGGCTCTCTCGGACAAAAGGAAATGGCTCAAAACCAAGACTTTAAATCAGCTTCAAACATTTCCTCTCCCCCCAACACTTTAGCTTTTTCAGGAGTATTAAGAAGGGAACTTTCAAAAGGCTAAAAGGATTAGGTACAAACATACTTCAACTTGTTTTTATGGAAGTTTTCCAACATGCAGCAATGGTGGAGAGGAGGGTGTCATTGAACCTCCAGTTCCCTCTCACCCAGCTTCAAATTATCCACGCACAGTCAATATTGTTTCATTTCGATCTGCACCTTCTCACACCCATCCCCCAGGCAATTTTGAAGCAAATCCCAGAAAGCATTTCATTCCCTACAAATTTCTGAACGTTAAAGATCCTTTAATGAATGGAAACACGATAATCTAATTATAACTAAGAAAAATTAGAATTCTGTATTGCCAAACATGCAATGTTTTCAAATTTCCCCAATAACATCTACGTTGTAAAGAGTTATTTACAGATGAAAACAGCCCATAACTTGTCAGCTGGTTGCTGGTTTTCTCACTCTGATCACGGGCTTCCCTCTCTCATGCTGTGGTCCACTCAGCCAGCCGGCAGAGCTGGTGTTATCTCCTGATTTGGGGCCTCCTCCTTTTTAAAATGTCTTAGACTTTTGTGAGCAAACTTCCATGGCTGGCTTTTGGCTCATTCTCTTTGGAAAGTCACTCTATTTTCTTCTTATCCCCTCTTGAAATCCAGAAAAGAAACATATGTTGAATTTCATTACCTCCAATTTTTCTCTTCTCCCCTTCACTTCATCTCTAAGGGGACAATTTACTTTACAACTCTTTTTTTTTAACTCACTTCCATGGGCACTCTGGAAAGCCTCATGGTTCTATTTATTCGTTCAGCAGATATTTATCGACCAACTACATGGTCTCTGGCTTGTACATTCTAACAAAAACGTGGCCTTAGAGAACTGTTACAAAGTCCGATTCACTCAATATCATTTCTCCAAATGTACACTAGAGGGCGCCGCATTTCCATTAGAAAAGTGGAGTAACGAAATACTGGTGCAGCCTTTATAGACTATTCCGTGCCACATAGTCAACCAAAGAAAGAACCTCACACAACTTGCACCTTAAAATGAAACAAATTCTATTGATTGAATGCGTAGATGAAAAGGGAAACAAACTACATAATCCCCCCCCCGAACAGGCCCATTTTCCATTCGACATCACAGGCAGGACTCCTAGGGCTTACAGGGTTTGTAGGATTATGAAAATGCTGAAGACTATTTTCATCCCGAAATACCAAAAGAAAACTGAAATACTGAACTCAGCAAATCTTCAGTGAAATGTCTACAGAGGCCAACGTATCAACGTATCACTTTGCTAATGTTACACGTAGTCTCAAAAACGTTTCATTACATTTGAAACAATAGGTATCATTTTCTATATTGTAAAATTTCCTGAATATGCCCCAGTAATAGCCCAACTGGACAGTGGATGGATGTAGTCCCCTGCTCTTGGTGCTTACATCTGAAGGGGAAAGATGATGAAAAAGCAAACAAATAAATGACCAAGGTCATGATTGAGGTCAGTGCTAGAGAGAAAATGAAGCTGGCTGATACAAAGTAGAACAGATGGAGAGTTACTGAGATAGAGTGTTTAGAAAAGGTCCCCATGAAAAGATGACAGCTACCCTGACACCTCAGTGACAAGAGAGCCCTGGGAAGGTCTGGGAGAAGAATATTCCGGAATATTCCAGGAAGAGGGAACAAGGGCAAAGGCCTACCCACGAAAGTGTGAGTTTTTAAAACATTAGGAAGACTTGGGAAGATCACAAATAACAAATGTTGACAAGGATGTAGAGAAAAGGGAACCCTTGTGCTCTTTGGTGGGAATGTAAATTGGTGCAGCCACTGTGGAAAACTGGATGGAGGTTCCTCAGAAAAAAAACAGAACTACCATATGACCCAGCAGTTCCACTCCTGGGTGTACATCTGAAGACAATAAAAATGCTAATGATGATCATGTCTTTCCTCCATTGATCTATTGAAGTGGTGTATTTCTTTAATAGATTTTTCTGATGTTGAACCATCCTTAAATTTGGTCATGGTACATTTTAAAATATATTTCTGGATTTGATTTGCTAATATTTTATTTTTGATTTTTGTAGTTATATTCATAGGTGGGATTGGTCTAAAATTTTCCTTCGTTATCCTGTCCTTGTCTGGTTTCATTTTCAAGGTTTTACCAGCCTCATTTAAAGAGTTCGGAGTGTTTCCCCACTATTCTCTGGAACTGTCTGTACATGAAGAGCTATGCTGTCACTAAAGGTTGACAAACTTTTCCAGCTAAAGCTATCTGGGCCTCGATCTTAAGTAATCCGGGGGAATGAGGGTTATATTTGACTACTGATGTAGTTATGCAAATGCCTATAGGTATGTTCAGATTGTTTTAAGTCTCTTTTGGTAATTTATGATTTTCTAGAAAATTATTCATTTCACATAAATGCAAAATTATCATAAATTGTTCATAGTATTATTCTTTTATGATTTTTTTAAATTTCTGTGTCTATAGTTAATAACCTCCTTTCCATTTCTAATACTGTTTCCATGTGCTTTCTCTCTTTTTCTGCCAGTGGTTTGTCTATTTTATTTATTTTTTCAAAGAGCCAGTTTTGGTTTTACTGAGTCTCTCTAACGTGATTTTGTTTTCTACTCCATTAGCTTTTATCTTTCTTATTATTTTTCTCCTCTGGGCATATTCTGTTGCTCTTTTTCTAACTTTTTAAACTCTTCACTTTTTGATTTTCAAAATGTCTTCTCTTCGAATAAATACAGTTAAGGGTAAAATTTCCCTCTAATTACTATTATAGTTGTATGGCACAATGTTTGAAAGGTAGTGTTTTCATAGTCATTCAGCCATAAATATCTTATCATTTCCATTACAGTTTATTCTGTGATTTGTAAATTAATAACTGTGTTTTAAAATTCTTGGGGGAAGGGGTGTAGCTCAGTGGTAGAGGGTATGCTTAGCATGCACGAGGTCTTGGATTCAATCCCCAGTACCTCCATCAAAAAAAAAAAATCCTGAACATATAGAAGCACTAGTCATTTTTTGTTAATTTATAGTCAGACCTTATTTATTGCGCTTCACAGATAATGCATTTTTACAAACTGAAGGTTTGTGGCAACCTGGCATCGAGCAAGTCTAGTTGTGTCATTTTTCCAATAGCATTTGCTGACATCATGTCTCTGTGTCACATTTTAGTAATTTTCATGATATTTTAAATGTTTTCCTTATTATTATATTTGCTACAGTGACCTGTGATCAGTGATCTTTGATGTTACTATTACAACTTATTAAGGCTCATATGAAGGTTAGAATCTTACAATGAAGTATTTTTATAATTAAGGTGTGTAGATTTTTTTAGACAGAATTCTATTGCACTTAATAGACTACAGTATAGCACAAATAGAGCTTTCATACGCACTGGGAAACAGACAAATTCGTGACTTGCCTTGTTGTGGTACTTGCCTTCTTGCAGTGGTCTGAAGCTGAGCCTGCAGTGTCTCGGGGCTGTGCCTGTATTTCAGTTTTATTACACTGTAGTCATAGAATACGCTCTACCAGTGATATCTAGGTTTTTTTGAAAGTTGCCCAGTATGTGGGGCTGTTGTATTCACTGGCTTTGTTTCTTAATTTTCTCATATTGCAAGATTTCCTGAATAGGCTCCAATGATGGCCAGGAGAGCAGTCCCATTTTAGAACCCTCTCCAGGCATCAGGGAGAAATGATCTTAAATATAAACCAACCAGGGGGAGGAAATAAGGAACAGAAAGAAGCTCCAGAAAGGGTATTTTTGTTCCAACACCAGCACTCTACCCAGAGCATGAAGCCAATCAAAACCAACATTCATGCAATGAGGCCACCAGCCTGTTCGCTGGGGCTGCAGAGAGATTTGCAGTCGGGAGAGCAGAGCCTGAGGTGGGCTGGGTCCCAGGCAGCACTGGCAAGTCCCCGCCCTTGTCAGTTACCGAGCCCGCCCTTCCTCTTTCTGGTGTTAGTGGATTTGAGTTGAACAAGAGTCCTGCCTGATTCAATTCAGAGGCCCTGTCTTTGAGTTACTACTGCTCAGGACCCTCCTCGACTGAGAGAGACTGATGCAGCCCCAAATCTGAGTCACAGAGCGCAACACAGAAGGAAGGTTCTGGAGTGAGCCTTGGCCATGACCAGGCCCAGCCCCTCACCAGGAATAGGAGGTAAAACGCTCATCCCAGTCTCAGCAGCCTGGTGACTGGCCTGGCATCACTTCCCTCTCCAGCACCTTCTGCACCAGAAGACTCCATGAAAAAAGTGTCTGCTGCAGGTTCCCGTCTGGCAGGAGATGCCACGGGACAGTGATGGCGACAACCCTGCCTCTGGGCTGTGCTGAGTGCACGCGGCTTATACACGTGCTTCTGTGATTCTCACGGCCCACGAGGTAGGAGGAGCACGACATTTTCCTTGTGTCACAGAGAAGACCAGAGACAGGAGCGATGCGGGACCAGCCGGGGCCTGTGCGTCGGGGTGGGCCGGCATCAGAGCATCACCAGTCAGACTCCGACACTCAGCTCCCGGGGACTGCGGGCATCACCACGAAGGTTCTCAGCAGGTCCACCTCACCCTGGGCTGAGCAAGCAGTTGGGGCTACTCCAAGGGGCCTCCAATCCAATATCCAAATCCAAGTAGCAGTCATCACCCAGATGGCGGAGCCTAAGCTACTTCATTGCTGGGACTTTTAAGTTACGGTGCCTTGACCAGAACTCCTTAAGAAATGATGGAGGCAGAGCTGGAGGCCCCCTCTCTGCTCCCAGCTCACTCCCAAAGGACCACTCCTCACACCAGCCTACGTCGAGAGAACATGTATTCCCCTCAGTCAGCTCCAGCAGGTGTCAGTGACGTATGGAGATATCCAGCCTGGATGTCTGTCACACACACTCCCATGGAGCCGTGGGGGGTCTCTCCTGTCCCACTACCCCAAGTAAAGGACCTGCGGCCCCTGTGGCCATTATTGCCCAGGAGAGCCAGGCCACAGCCCAATAAAATGCACTCACTAGCAAACTTACAGACCCTTTCCCCGCTCACACCTCCCATCACTTCCCAGCCCACAGCCTCCAGCACTTGACCCATCAGCCAGTGACATCTATTTCCTGAGTGCTATGAGCCCAGCCCTGTGCTAGACCCTGAAGGGGTTCGAGAGGAAATGACACATCCCTTGCCTTCAGGGAGTTCACAGTCTAGTTGGAGATTTCACACACACAAGGGAAACTGGAATCAAAGACTGCACACTTAGGGGTGAGACAATGTGTTAACACAAGAACTGCTCAGAGCAAGGAGGAAGGTGGGCCAGGTGGTTCAGGAAGATAGTCCTGGCGGAGAAGAGGGCTTAGCAAGGTGGGAGAATGGGACATTTCAGAGCAACCCCAGGGGAGGCAGAGGCCCGATGGAGGATGGCACAGTGACAGGGAGGGAGCTGACAATCAGCAGAAAAGGGCCACCTGTGAGGGTCCCCACAGATGGGCCAAGGATCCAGGCAAGGGAAGCTCCAGGAGTGCAGGGCCTCCTCCTCCTGACCTCCCCCAGAGCCAGCTGTTAACTAAGAACCCCCTACAAACTACAGCAGAGCCAGGACAAGCAAGACCCCCGGGCAGGAACCCATGGCGGCATCCCAGCATCCCTGACCAAAACCCAGCTCAGCGCCAGGACCCCCGACACATTTCCTCCACGCCCCCAGCCCTCACTTGGATGGGATTCGACCTACATTTCATTAAAGGCCTCTCCCCACCCGCAAGGATTTCACTACCCATAACCCACCTCATGAAGTCTTAGTGTCATCAAAAACCTAGCCCAGCCCCGGTCGGTCACACCTCTTCTGATGGGTGGTCCACTCTAGGGAGGCCGGTGAGCTCCAGGCCAACCTGCTCAGGTGTGAAGTCCAGAGGAGCCCTCGCCCTGCTGCTGGCCTGGCATCTGCCCTCCTCTTGATGTGCTGTGGACTCCAGAACACACAGAACTCGTCCGCCAGCCTCTCGGGCTCCAGCAGGGACACTCTACTCCCCCCTCCCAGGCCTGTGCACGTCGTGATGAGCCAGCAGCCAGGTAGCCAGAGTAAGCAGCCTCAAAGCAGAGAAGACCAGCCTGGCCCACGGAGCCTCCAGCCACATCTGGGGAAGGGAAGGGAACTCCAGAGAACTGAGGCACTGTTTGTTAAGTCCAGAAGAAAGTGACTAAAAGAAGCCCCTCCTCAGAATTCTTTATTCCTGAACAAGGGAAGGAAGATGGGTGTGAGGAAGGAGGGGAAAGAAATGCTACTTGTACAGAGGCCCAGACCTGGGGCTCTGGGTTAGGTAAGGAAAGGGTGCTGGGTCGGTCCCAGGGCCGAGGATCTCAGCCTGGAGTCCAGGAGCTCCTGGACCTGCTTCTGGCGTCTACGGGAGTATGTGTGTCCTCCTGGGGAGAAGGTTCATAACCTTTGTCATCTTTTCAAAGGGCTTCAGGACCCCCAAAGTGTTGAGAACCATGGTTCTGACAGCAAAGTGATGCCTTCGCAGGTCTGGTTCACACCTGGGGGAAGGTCTGGCTTCTGGAGCCAGGTGTGCAACCGCTTGCTGTGTTCTCTTAGGCCACTGCTTTCCTGTCTCTGGTGGGCCAGGAGGGAGCAGAGAAGTGGGATCCCACCCAGACACCGTCCCTGCTGCCCCATGAGAGTGGAGGTTCAGGGCCAGGCAGCCAGGACAAGCTCTTCTCCCACCGTGACTCCCAACAGGTTCGGGGAGTTTTTCCATCAGAGCACAGAACCTGCCTCCAACTCCAGGCTCCATCGGTCCCTCTGCCATCACCTCCTGAGGTACGTCTTCTTAGGGGATGCGTCCTCATGCCGGGGTGCAGGCCCAGGGCCCCATTCCTAGTCTCTGTGCCAGATGTGTCTTGCACACTGCCCAGAGGTCCTGCCCACTCCACATCTGTTCACAGAGACAGAGACCAAGGTCAGGTCTGAAGCAGGACATGGCCCTGCCCACCCACCCCTCAGCCACCCCCTGGAGCCAGGAGGGAGCAGTCATGGGCCACTCTGCACCTGTCCAGGCCATTGAGCCAGTCCTCTCAGCTCCTACCAAGCACTCAAGGATTACTAATCCCATTTACCAATGAGACAACGTGGGTTCAGGACATTTGGTGACTGGCTCCAGATGTCCCAGGTCCCTATTTAATCTCTTAATCTCCACCACTAAGTACTAGTTCACATTGCAACAGCCACCTGGGGTGGCAGGCAGAGGGTAGCTAATCCCTGAGAAGCCTCATGGCTCTCAGGGTGTGGAGCTAAGGCTCTGTGAGAGCCAGTCCTCTCTGAGGCCCCAGCTTCCTTCATCCCAACTCACCACTGAGGATGCCATGTCCCCTTTGGACATGTACAGCCCCCAGCAATGCACCTGCTCAGGCTCTTACTGTATGGTCCTGGTCACATTCCTGCATCCTCAAAGTTTCATTTTTCCCCCTGTAAGAACCTCTCTTAAGAGCAGTACAGTAGAGATGAAGGGTCTAGAAACCCAAATGAGGCCCAGGCTTGTACTGCTGTACTGCTAGGTCTAACTGTGGTTTAGGGCCAGCTTGGGTAAGCCTCAGTTTCCTCATCTGCCAAATGGCTGAGTAGCCCATGCCTCCAAGTATCAAATTAGTTATCTGAGGCCCTGGGGGACAGGTCCTGGCTCTCCCCTTTCTCACTGCACGACCTTGGCCAAACCTCTTGCTGGGGGGGGGGGGATCACCTTCTCTTGCCCAGATGACCCCAGGACCCTCAAGTCTCCTGCCAGTCCCATTTGCATCTCCCCTCACCATGCTCCCAGTTGCCCTTGAGACCACTGCATTCCTCCCATTACACATCTCGGTGTCCTCTCGCTGCCACAAAGTCCTCTGTACAGCAAATATGGGCCTCCATGTTCGGACATCCCTCTCGGGAACCTTTCACACCCTTGCTCTACCAGGACCCAGTTCAAACCATCAGACTGCCTTGGGTGATGCCAGTCACCTCCCTGCCTCCCAGAGTGCTTCGCAGTCAGTCCCCTACAATATCCTGTGTGGTACTTCAGGGGACAGGCAGGGCCTGTGTCTGTGCTCCTCCAGAGAGCCCCACCCAGCACACAGCCCAGCACACAGGAGCACTCAGTAAATGACGTCACTCTCTCACCTGGTAACAGCAGTTACAATCCTCACAATGTCCCAGGGAGGATTCCCTCATCATTTGCCCCAACTTACAGATAAGCAAACTGAGTCATGAAGTGAAAGGACTTCTCAAGGGTACCAAATAGTAAGTACTGGCGCCAGGAGACCCTGGGGGCTGGGGGTGGGCCTGGGGATTGTGGAGAGTACCCTCTCCAGGTCGCTTTCAACTGACATTCTGGGAATGAGGATCTAGTAAGAAGCTAGTCTAGACATATGAGCCCAGTATGCCCCACCTCCCTCACCTGTCCCCACCTGACCCCAAACAAGCCTGAGAGGGACTCTGGCCTGCCCTAGGTCTCACCTGCTCTAAGCTGGGTGGGCTTGAAGAGGAAAACCAACGCAGGGGCCCAAAGCAGCTGTGTGCACCCAGCCGGAGGGTCCTGGGGGAGGAGCAGAAAGAGGCGGCCCAAGCCAGGTAGCGGTCCACTCCTTCGATACCCCAGGCCAGCCCTCCTCGTCTCCCGACATCCCATCCAGAGAGGGGGCCGCAGCCCAGCGCCATCTCCAAGGGTCACGGATGAGGCTCTGCGGCAGGAAACAGCCAGTGGCGGGCCTTGCGCGCATCAGAGCACGCGGCCTAAATGGGCCGCCTGGCCCTCGGGCCCGTGGCCGTGGCTGCGCTGGTGGGTCTTGAGCGAGCCCTCGCGCGCGAAGCTCTTGCCGCAGCGGGAGCAGAAGTAGGGCCTGCGCTCCCCGAAGACGCCGGGGCGGCGCGGGTGCGGCGCGGGCATGCGCGCGTGGGTGCGCTGGTGGTTGAGCAGGAAGCGCGGCTCCCGGAAGCAGCGGCCGCACTGAGCGCACTGGTGCGGCTTCTCGCCGCTGTGGATGCGCTGGTGCGTGAGCAGGTTCTGCTTGAGGCTGAAGCAGCGGCCGCACTCGGGGCAGGGGAAGGGCCGCTCGCCCGTGTGGGTGCGCTGGTGCACCTCGAGGTTGTGCTTGACGCTGAAGGCCTTGCCGCACTCGGGACACACGAAGGCGGCCGCGCGGCCCGCCCCGGCGTGCGCCTTCTGGTGCCGCACCAGGCTGGGCTGCTGCGAGAAGGTCTGGCCGCACAGCGGGCAGCGGTGCGGCTGCTCCTCCGCGGGGTGGTGGATGACCAGGCCTCGATCGTCCCCCAGACCCTCCTCCCCGTCCCCAGCAGGGGACCCGCCCCCGGAGGACGCCAGCTCGGTCATGGGCACTTCTGGCTGCAATCACCAGCCCCTGGGAAGGCAGAAGCAGAGAGAGGAGTCAGGGGGCACCTGAGGGTCAGCTAGCCCACAGCCTCAGGAAGGACATTCCACTGGCCTCCCACAACTTCCAGCATCGGCCACTCACGGTCCTATTCAAGCCAGGTTCCCCTCCTGGAATGCCCTTCTTTCTCCTCTACCCCTTAATCACATCCTACCCCTCCTTGAGGCCTTTCTCAAGTGACCCCTCCAGCCCCTCCTGAGCCATGTGGCCCAACCCTTTGACCCTCACTCATCACACAGCATGCTGGGCAGTCATGCCACCTCTGTCTCCCTGCCCTGTGAGCGCCTTAAGGACAAAGCTGCCTCTTTTATGCCCCACATCAAACACTGTGCCTGCCACCCAAGGCAATGAAGAAATGCCGATGGGTAACATTCAGGGGCTCCTTGTTATCCTGAACCTGGATAAGTCTTATCTCTCCAGCCAGATTCTCAAGGTGGGGAGGGGGGAGTGCCTCTTCAGTATGGAGGGAAGGGTGGGGTCAACAGTGGTTTAAAGATATTTTTGCAAAGCTTAAAAGAAGAAACAAAACAAAAGCCCTGTAAACTTGAAAGTAACCTCAGTTAAACATTAAAGGCAGCCGCTCTTTGTTTATAAAAATGAGGCATGCCTGTAAAAGGTTTGCAAGTCACTGAACCAGAGTGTGAGCTCCCAGGGGGCTGGTCTCAGCTTGATTCCTCTTGGCATCCCCACAGCAGAGCCCGGCCCAAGGCTGAGGAACACTCAGAGCTCAACAACACCCCACCAAGTTCAGTTCCATCCCATTCACGCTAATTCTCCCCAAGATCCTCTTCCCCAGGGCTCTGTGTTCCTCTTAAATTGATTCCCACTGTCCTCACAATGGCCCTGAGGAAGGGGCAGGCTTATTGAACCCCACTTTATAGATGGGGCAACTGAGACTCAGTGAGGTCAACTTACTTGCCCAAGGTCGCACAGCAAGGTGAACCAGGACAAGGCCCTAAGTTTTCCTGACTCACTGTCAAAAGCTCTTCTAAATAGACTAACTGCTCAGCTAAGCTCCCCTCAAAACACACACACACATACACACACACGACCACCACCACCATCCTGACCACCACCACCATCCTGGCCACCACCACAGAGCCATCAATACCCCAAGGGCCACTGCTCCTGTAAGGCACTGTTCATGACTCCAAAAAACCCAGGCTCCTCTCCTCCAGAGCAGTGAGGCCTGCTCCTCCGGGCTGAGCTGGCCACTCCCCTGCATTCCCCACCTTCATCAGGGAAGCTTGCTGGCGGTTCCCCTGGACATCCATGCAGGCCTTCTCCACACTTCCAGATCTCACTGCTTATCACAACCTCAGTGGACCTATCTGCAGAGTGGGGTCCCAGAGATACCCCTCCCCCACCTCCCCCTACCCTCAGGCCAGGACAGAACACCACTCACCCTGGGAAAGGGGACAAGTACTACTTGCAATAGACCCCACCCACAAGTCCTTCCCCAGGCAGCTGCACAGACATCTGCAAAGACAGATCATCACAGTCCCCTTGGCCAATCTCAGCCTGGCCTTGTCTCTGGGCGGCTTCCCCCACTCCCCTAGCTACACCCCTGACCAAAGCCCCGCCCGCCGAGAGGGTCCAAGCCATGGCCCCCTTCTCTCCCCCAACTTCCTCTATCCCATCCCACACTCACAGCTCAGGCTGCGCCCCTGTTCCTCCGGCCTCCAGCAGTGGCTCTTTCCTCTAGAGTCTGCTCTGCCCAACGCAAATACGGTAACTCTCCGCAGCGCCTCCCGAGCCCCTTCTCCCCAACCCCGAAAAGACGGCCAGTCTCCCCGCACCGCTGTTCTAGTCAAACAGCGGCTTTAATCAAAAGAGCTGACCCCCACCCAGCCGACCTCCGAGCACAACCTTGCCAACTCCTGGGACCGGAGCGACCCCGGAGAAATATGGTAAACTCTGCGTCGCAGCCCCACCCTCATGAAAATATGTAGGCCTCCCACCCAGCTGCAGCAACCCACTTCATTACAGTGCAAGCCCCGGCTCCTGTAGGCAATTAATGCAACCCACCCTCCCACTCCCGCAGCGCCCCGGGGGAACCATGCAACCCTGGATAAATACGTAACTAAGTCTTGATGCTCCCCACTCCCGGAAAGGGCCTGCGCGGCTCCAGGCAAATACGGTAGCGCGCCCGCAGTGACCCGCCCCCAAGGGTCCGGCACTGGCCTCGATAAATACGGTAATCTCCCGCCGCCCCAGCCCCGGCCCGGCCCGGGACTCACTTGGCGCCGCCTCCCCAGCCCTCCGTGCCGCCGCAGCGCCGCAGTCGCCAACGTCGCCGCAGCCTCACAGCAGCCCCGTGAGGCTGGGAGGTCTAACTCGCCAGCAACCTGGCTGGCGGAACGAGGAGGGCTGCGAGCACTGAGCTTGCAAGGGCAAGAGAGGGAACCAGGCGGGGGCCCGGCGGGGGCCCAGCGGGGGGCCGAACGCCCCGCCCGGCGGGTCACCCCGACTCCACCAGGGCCCCCTGCCCCAGCCAGTCTCGTTTCAGGATTCCCTGAGGCCCCGATTCAGCAGTTAGAGCCTCATCCTCACCTCCCTCATCCTACGGTAGGACTACTCTAGTCAAGCCACAGACTGATCCCCGGCGCCTAGAAAACAGGGTCTGGGGGCGCTGGAGATACAAAGCCTTTCTTTGCAAAAGAAAAAGGGGTGAATGCAGGAACGCCCCCTGCGGGGCCTTTCTGAGCAGGGGTTTCATCCATGGGAGACGGCAGTCAAAGGAGCAGAATCAGAACTACCCAAGCCGATGGCTTCGCCATACCGCGAGGCGGGCTTTGGCGAAGCCTGGGTTATGCCATTAGGATGACTAGGGAAATAGAAGAGAAAACTATACCCTCCTCCTCAGAAGTGAGCACATTACAGTCAAGCCAAAGATGTCCTATGAAAGAGCCACTTATAACACTAAGGGGGAGCAGCTGGTGAGGACCTGGCTGGGCTGAATTCCAGTTTCCAAATGTCATTTAGTAATACTCCTTCCTTGTACATTACTTCTCTTATTACAAAGCCCCTTCCCATATTATCTCGTGGGAGCCTTCCAATAACCATGTGCTTCTAAGTTACACAGGTGTTATTATCCTATTTTATAGATGGGAAAGTAAATAAAATTGAAACACAGAGCGGCATCCCCCCAAGACCCACAGCTCTAAGTGGCCGAGCCCAGGTGGAAAGTAGGCCCAGGGCCCAGCTCACTGTCCCCGTCATCACTCTGGTACCTTTACTGGGAAACAGGGTGTGCAGACTGGGATCAGAAGTAATAATCTCATCCAGAGTGAGAAAGTGCCTCCCAATTTACATATTATAGATAAAGAAACAGGCTGAGAGGGAAAGTGATTTTTTTTAATTAAAAGTACCAGAGGAACATCAGCTAGCCTTTTCCTTCATGGCCCCTCTGCAGCTGCCAGGTGGGTGAAGCAGCTGGATTTCCAAAAGGTCCAGACTGGGCTTCTTAGGGCAGACAATGGATGTAGCTGCGAGGGTGATGCTACCCTTGATGAGGGGCTCTGGGAGACAGAAGCCTCCCAGCCTCATGAGGTGACCCCTGCAACCCTGCAGGTGCCCAGGGTGCTTTTCAGAGCCTAGGAAATGAAGAATCTATGGGATTCGCTTAGGAGTAAAACCAATCCCTTACTCCTGATACCAGACCTGAAGGTCAAGTCTACTAGCTTTCACAGCTCACTCCATGGACCAGCTCATCCCAGCAGGTCCACCCTGGGTCACACTCAGCCTCTTGAGGACCCACCCCCACCCCTAACCCCATCCATGCTTCTCCTGTAGCACCTCACCGAGGTATGCAGAGTTTCATGAGAGAGACAGCCCAAGGAGATTGGTATTTCAAATAGAGGTAATTGGGGGATTCTGGGAAGCCCAAAGAAATGACTCCACCAGGATAGATGCTGACCCCAGGGCCAAGTGTCCAGTTCCCACCGTATTGACAAAAGAGCCCCCTAACCATTGATAATCCACACCCACACTCCGCCCAGGCCCCTGGAGCTTTGTTCATAGAACAGCCACACCTCCTGGCTCTCCAGCCCCTGTTGCAAAAGTTGTCACCTGCCAGAGAGACCAGCTTTCATCTCTCCTGCAGGCTGCAGGAGAAATGAGGACACTTCATAAGTGACCAGATTTTTCAAAAGCAAAATCAGTAATATACCTGAGGATATCATCCATATTTTCGGCAGCATTTTCTAGGGAAGCTGTGCCAAGATAGAAAGGAAAGGAGCACAGCTGGGGAGAGGGGGCGGGAGGCAGACAATATCACCTAAACCTCAGGCGGAATGCCAAGGGCTCCGGGAGGCGTCGGTCCTCTGCTCTGCCTCTGCCTGATTTCTGCTGAGTCATTTCGTTTCTCTGGTTTCATACACGTACACCCCTGCACGCAGCTCCCCCTGCTGTTTGCACATGCTTTGGTGAGCACAATAGAAAGACAGTACGGAAACATTCTGCAAACATGACCATGCTTCTTAGTACAGGCAGGGCCAAGGACTGGCCTGGCGATCCCCACCATTCCACAAGGCTCATGTGACATCTGGACTGTGGACCCTAACAAAGGCGTGGGCTGCTCACAGCCGGGGCTCCTGGAGAACAGCTGGCCCGTGGTCCCCTTCTCGGTAGAGGCATGTCTAGCTCAGCCTAGTCCTGTCCAGCGCCCTGTATTCCCTCCCCAACCCTGGGCACACCAGCTGGACAAACGATCCCCATGGGCTCCCGTGGACCCATGTGCTGCCTCGCAGAGACCAGCCTGGTTATCCTCCCCCTCCTCCAGCCGCATCCCTGGGGCTTCTGCACTCAGCTGGGCAAACTTGCCGCCCCCTCCCATCACCCCAGATTGGACAGTGATCCCTAATCTTCCTCTCCAAGGCAACTATGCCGAATTCAAATCAGAATTTAGCTCACCTTTGTTTTCCCATCAGGTTGTGAGTTTCAAAGTATAGGGACTGTTTTCAGTATCTCTGTATCCCAAGTGCTCCGCATATAACAGGCCCTCAAAGTCTGCTAAATGAATGAATGCACATTTGCAAATTACACCCTAGAGCCTGTGTGCTGACCTCATGTCAGGAATGAGGGGTTGCATGTAAGCTACAGCCTCAGCCACAGCTTTGAGGGCTGGGAGGCAGTGCAGAGACCCAGATGGAGATGGGCTCTAGGCACAAAATCTCACCTGCTCCAAAGTTCTTTTCCTTGAAATTAAAACCCAAGATGTGACCTAGGACATCAATTCAGCCCCTAATCTGGCAGTGTGCTGGACACTAGTTAATTTCTTAAGGCAACTGAGCTCTGTTTGGGGAAAACCCTTTTCTTCTCTTTCCATCATACAACTTCCATTTTTACAAATGCTGTGCAAGTAGCCACACATAGAGTTTATTAAAATAACAGCAATAGCTATCATTTATTGAGCACTTGCTGTGTGCGCCAGGTACTATACGACATGCTTTATATAGCTCACCTGCCCAAGGTCCCACAGCTTACATGGCAAAGCCAGAATTTAGCCCCACAACTGACTCTATCCACTATTCCCAACAACAACAACAAAAGCTCTTTCTGGATTTGGGTGAGGGGAGAGGATGAGAGACAATATTTCTGCTTCCTCTCAACAGGAGCATTATTCCTAGGGCTATACTGTCCAACAGTCACATGTGGCTCTTTAAATTTAAATTAATTGGAATCGAAGAAAATTAAAAATTCAGGTCCTTAGCCTCACTAGCCACAGTTAAGGGTGCCATAGCCACACGTGGCTGGTGGCCATGGTATTGGACCGCACAGATATAGCACATGTCATCATCACTGAATGTTCTGGACAACGCTGGTCTAGGGCACCTCCGCCTCCAGATCTGATTAACCCAGGAAACACTATTCTCTTTTTAAGCCTAAGGACAACCTGTGGGGAACCATTCATTTCCCTCTTTTCTCTGCTGGGATCTAGTAAGAGCAGTGATTTGTGAGAACGTACTATTTTCAGTCCCAACACTCCTTCTCTTCCAAAGAACAAGGCTATTACTTTACCAAACGCAAACTACTTTAACCAGAAAAAGGAAAGCATTCGCCCCCCCACTCCTGCCAGGTGTTCTCCGCCGAGTCCCTGCTGGTCTCACTGTCTCCCCGGGTCAGCCACCTCTCCCGGGCAGATCCCCGGGGCCGGGCAGCAGGGAACCACACCCTTCCACGGAGGCTGCTGCCTTGCTGGCTGACCCAAGGCTCCTGGTGCCTGCCAAAGGACGAGCCTTTTCTAAGTACCTAAGTTATCTGTCTTAGCTCCCAGGCTGTTCCTAACAAAGGAACACACGAGGATGATGTGGGCCATACCTGGACCTGCAGCTCCACTCGGCCCATCTGGCGTGTTGGAAGCTTGGCCCTGGGTCCTCGCCACAGACCTGCACTTACCTGGCTGTGGACAGGATATAAATAAGTCTTTTACGATCATGATTTATTTACTCATGGTTGTTTTCTGTTCCCCTCTACAAACCTTTAATCTCGGCACGCTCCGGAACATTTTGAACTGTAAGCCACAAGGCTCAGTCTGACCTCGTCTATGATTTCATAGCAGGCCTCTTTCTAAATTTTCCCTGACCTGGTTTTATTATTTTCAAATGGAAGGGCATTAAAATTGAAGTTGACAATGCCAGGCCTCCCTTGGAGAAGCCTGTGATTGTGACCGTGGAAGATATTTAGGCTAAGATGAGGCCTGGGATCTGCTGTCCACTTGCAACATGAACTGATGGACTAGTCCCACTGTTCCGAGGTCCCTCTCCTGTATCACTGCCCTGCCGAGGTCACTGTATCCTAGTGATGAAATGAAAAGGCCAATAAGAAAGCCTTGCCTAGACAGCTGGGGCTGGAAACAATTTAAGAGTTGACCGTATAGATTGTTCCAGGCTGTGTATCAAAATGAGTTGCCATCGAAGGCTTAATGAGCCCCTTGAGGGCAAGGACTGTGACTGCTATAGATGGAATTGAGTCCCCAAATTCATATATTGAAACCCTGATCCCCAATGTGATGGCATCTGGAGACAGAGTCTTTGGGAGGTGATTAGGAACGAGGTTTAGTCGTGAGAGTGAGGTCCACCTGGTGAGATGGTGAGGTTAGTGTCTTTATTCAAAGAGGAAGAGAGAGACCAGGTTCTCTCTCTCCCTCTCTCTCTCTCCTTCCTCCCCCAACTCCTTCCCACCACATGAAGACACAGAGAAAAGGTGGTGATCTGCAAGTCAGGAAGCAGGGCCTCACCAGGAAAAGAACTGGCCAGTACCTTGATCTTGGACTTCCCAGCCTCCAAACTGTGAGAAATGCACATCTATCATTTAAGCACCCAGCCTGTGATGTCGTTATGGCAGCCCGAACCAGCTAAGACAATGGCTTATTCAGCACAGCATCCCTGAGGTCTGACACAGTGCCTGGCACACAGCAGGCTTGTTGAGTAAATCAATGCTGTGCACCCCGCCATCCCCTGACCCGGTCACATCAGTAATTCTTCACTCTCATGGACTGGGCCCTGTCCCCACTGTGACCCAAAGCACCCAACTGTGAGAGGGTCTGTCACCTGGGAACGGGGGTTAAGCTGCAATCAGGCCTCATTAAACCCAAGTCCTACCAACACAGCTGTGTGATTGATCTGGGCCTTAAACATGGGCTATTTGTGAACGTAACACATCCTATTGTGCAGGAGCTCCAGCGCAACTGATCTCCTCAGTACCGGCCTGCGCTGCCCCTCAGGAACCTGATTCAACAGGGCTCTCCAGCACAGGCATGGCACCTCTGGGATGCTTCCTGGAGGAGGGCTTGCTCGAGCTGGCCTCAGGATTTGAGGAAGCAAATAACTCTTGAGCCTTCCCCATCATTCAAGTGGGTTTTGATGAGATGCAAGGTACGTGACTTCCCTGAGCAGGGGAGGCTGTGGGAAGAGTTGCAAGAGAGCGGCAGGCAAGCACCTAGGGCTGGTGTAGGCCAGAGAGCGTGCCTAGGAAAACCATTCTGATTTGACTTCTGGCTGGTCCTGAGAGCTGAGCTCCCAGAAGGGCACACCTCATCCACCTGTGAGGTTTCACACAGCACGGTCTGTGATCAAAGGCCTGGACCACGAGTCAACAGCCCTGGCTGAACATTAACAACCATCGGCATTGTGTTAACCCAGGTAAGCTGGATCGCCTCCATATGTCTTTTTGTGATGCTTCAACAATTAGAGCTGCTGCCAGATGAAAGGGATTAAACAAAACCTGACAAGGAGGGTGACCAGAAGCCAGGGTGACCGCACAGTTCCTGGATGACATAACACTTCTCTGAGTTCAAGGGAGAACCCCACAGGCCCCTGGGAGGCAGATAGGCAGTTCCTCCTCCTCCAGAATCACCCTAGGGTTTCCCCTTTTTCCTCCCACCTCTTGGTTATCCCTAGTTCCCCAATACCCACCCTTCCTGTAATCCCCTCCCCTCCGGTAGGAAGACACCGTCCAAAGCTACAGCTGAGCTGGAGCCCTGGGTTCTTCTGTCAGCACCAGGGCCCCAGCTGACACTACTTCTGGAAGGGCATGGCGTCAGGAGAGTGACCTCTAGGACGGGTAGAAGTCAAACGGGGTATGTGGCAAGAAATCTAATTGCCTTGGAGAGGAAAAGGGGGCACAGAATACAGCCCTCCACTCCCAGCAAGAACTGGCCCTGGAGAGCAGCTATGCTCATGGCCAAAGCCCCCAGCCCTGGTCCTGGGGCAGAGGGATCCCTCGAGTACACACAGACTGGAGTTCTGGAAGGATAGCTCAGAAAAGAGGACAAGACCATATGAGATAGTCAGTCCTTCATTTCTCTCTTCTGCAGCCCGATGCTGATGAGGATCCCAGTCAGTGCCCACCCAATCAGAGCGGCACATTCAGCGCCTTCCTGCTGCAGGTCCCCCCGCAAGCTACAGAACCCCAGCTGAGACCAGCCCCGTGTCCCAGCCCCTGACTATCACACACACACACACCAGTCCTGGGTCAGGCTGGCCATAACAGCCCCCATGGACAACGGGGCGCTAAGGGCTGAGGAGCATCAAACCATGCACTCCTTCCAAATACAGGTGTTGAACGGCCATTGGGTGCCAGGCTCTGGCCTCTGCATTGGAGATATGCATGCCCCTCCCCAGCTGCAGCGTCCAGCTTCCAGCTTGGCATCACTCGTCTGTGGAGACTATCCCACAGGAACTGTTACCTGGCCGCTGAGCGGGTGCTACAGCTGACGAGTCCAGATCTGGGCCATTTCTCCCAGAGAGCCTCTCCCAAGGCCCCCTCACTCGCTGCCCAAGGGCCGGGGTCCCACCTGTGAGTAAGGACACATCCAGGCTCCAGGATGAGGATGTCTGATCTTCTCTCTTCTCTCAGCCCTTCCTGGGACTTTTCCCCATCCCCCTTTTGGGATGCTTCTGGAATTCTGTTCTCAGGTCTCGGAGCCTTGAGACAACCACTGTTTTGATATGGTCTCACCCCTTGGGGTTCTAAAAGCCACCGTTCCTGGCCACCCCCACACGCACCCCGTAAGCATGCCCCCCACCGCGGGTCGGCTTGGATCCAGGTGGACTAGAGCGCCTCATCCTTGGCGCTGGGGGTGGGCACCACGGCCCCCCGGTGAACGCGCTGGTGCTTAAGCAGATGCTGCTTCTGGCTGAAGCCGCGGCCGCAGGAGGCGCACAGGTAGGGCCGCTCGCCCGTGTGGTTGCGACGGTGCCGCGTCAGGTTGGGCTTCTGGCTGAAGCGGCGGCCGCACTCGGGGCACGGGTAGGGCCGCTCGCCCGTGTGGATGCGCTGGTGGATGTTCAGCGACGACCACC